AGATGTGTCGGCGCGCGCGCCGCCCCTGTGGGGGGCGACGCACATATAGTATAAGTATGTTGGGGTGACGCGCTCCCCCCGTGAGCATGCATTGGACCAGTCGGGGTCGTCGGAGGATGACCTGGACCGGATTCATGCTTGGGGGGGTCGTCAACGCGACCCCCGCCCCCCCCTGGAGAGGGGTCGCACTCCGATGTGTCCGATGTCGGATGACTTTCACCGCTTGGCTTCAGGCCGCCCTCCTGGTTATCTTCCTCTTCTCCTCGTATAAGCCGCTATTGTCCTCGTACTCTTGCGGCTGTTACTGCTACTGATGTTGCTGCTGATGTTTCCCACTACTGGCACTACTATCTCTTGCACCATCCCTGCTCGTATTCGTCCTCCTGACGCTGCGGTTGATTTGCAAGAGAAACTTCGCTCCCGTCACGCACTTTGTTCGTCACGTATTTGACGTCGCCTACACCGCATGCTAAAGTCTTTCGCCGCCGGTTGGGGGGAGGATGAAAGGGGGGACGCGGGGTAACGCGATGCCAGGACTTCTCTTGCTTGCCCCCTGGGCTGGGTTCCCTAAAGCACGCCATGCAAAGGAAATCGTTTCCCAACATCAACATCATGTTTATCATCGTTCCAGTCACCAGGACCAGCGCACCATTTGATGTAAACTTGTCGCATCCCCCTGCGAACATCATCCGTAGCCATCCTGTAGGCTCAAGCTTTTCTCGTGCCAAGACGTCATGAGCGGCGTCGGGCAAGGGCGCCTGGGTTTCGGCATGTCGAAGAATGGCCAGGCGAACCTGCTTGGCCAGAGAACGCTCGACACCATGTTCGGTGATAGCGGTGGCGCGCGTGCGGAGGTCGGCGGCATTGCGGTCCCTTTCTTCGAGGCACACCCCGACGACCGCCACGCGTTTGGCCCCCTGCCGCCACGCAGTGACGATTCGGTTCCCATCGCGAAGTCCAACTTCTACCTTGGGGCCTCGAACTTTCACAAGAACGCCCTGCCGTACAAAGTGCGGCGCTCGCTGTTGGAGGCAGCGGCCCCTGACATTTTCCCAGTGCACCGCGCGGAGGGGATGTCGGAATGGCTCGTGGACGCGATTCTCTTCCTGTCGACGAACCTCGACCCTGACACGAAGCTCTCCCACTTCGGCAAGGATTTGACGAGGGCACGCATGCGCGAGGCCATCCACAAGCAGTCGAAGATGATTCTCCATGGCGATCCGTGGCGCCAGAGACACTTGCGCAATCTCAACCTGGAGCTCTACGTTGAGGATATCGCCATCGACTACGGTTACAAGAGCTGCTTCCTCCCGAAGCGCGACGAAACGCCCGCTGCTCCAGCCCCGAACACCCCTGGCGATCAGCCTTCCTCGAGCGGCGGCCCTGCGGAGAGCAACAGCGGAAGTGATTGAGCCTCGGCTTCAGTCGGCAAGTAGGCGCGACCCTGCTCAGCCTTAGCCTTCGGTGGGGGGTTGTTCTCACGATGTCAATGTGCGTCCTCCGTCAGTTTCTGGGTTTTGTCGCGAACGGCCGCTCATGGGGCCATTCACGTTTGCAGCCCGTCGTTCTTGTGGGGTCGGAGGCTCACATGACTTTTTGCCCATTGAAGTCGTTCGTCGTCAGTGGTCGAGCCCCCAAGTGTAACGAAGCACCGAAGGAGGCTCGTGCAGCCCGCGGTGCGAGTGGCCACGGAAGCACGCCTGTCAGAATTGTTGGTTGCGCGCAGTGTAGGTCGCTGGCGGCTGCGCCCATCTCGAGGCCGATATCGGCTGATGAACTGGCGGAACCGATCGATTGGCACGCCTGGACGTTCGAAGACTTGAAGTCGGGTTACCGTTAGTTCCCAGGGGGGCGATGCCGTTGCGCCTGTCTCGGTCCACCCCCGTCTCGGCCTCCATGCCCCTCCAGGAACGTTGCAACCCCGCCGTGGCGCGAAAGTAAGTTTTCCTGGGGGGAGGGGTTGGAGGAGACTTCAAGGCCAGCCCACGTGCCATTAAAGACAGCGGCCTAGGCCACTTGAGCCACAGGGGGAGCAGTTGCATGCCACCTTGAGCAAGTGATGGCGATGGGGAGGAGGGAGAGGATTGCATACGAGGGGTAAGGCACCCAAAGAGTAAGGCATCTGCGGGGAGAGGCATCTCAGGAGGAAGAGGAGGAGAACTATCTTTTGGCGTCGCCAGTCGTCGTCCTCCTCGCCGAGTTGTCGTCGACGTCGACGTCGACGTCGACGCCCTTGCCACCTCGTCCTCCTAGCCGCCGCTGTTCGGCTCCTCATCCTCGGCCACCCGTGCACGTTTGCCAACATCATCCCCCTCATTTGTTTTCTTGCCAGCCCCTCCGCGCTCACATGAAACCGCGATCGGCTTCGCTAGTGCACCGTCGGGGGCCCGCCGTGGCCCGCAAACAGGTTTAGATGCGTTTCGTGCCTCGCCGAGGCGCCCAGAGTGGTCGGGCGCGGTTTTCTCAGGGGTAGCCAAATCGCAACGTGCAGCCCGAGCGTTCAGCAGCAGCGCAGCGCAGATGCAGCCAGCAAGCATAAGGGTACCCAAACCACGCACGATGCACGAGGGGCGCCGAACATGCCCGAGCGCATCGACCCAAACCGTCCGAGCCCGCGCATTACGCGTCAATGCAAACCTTATGTAAGCGTCTTGGCTCAAACATCGGTCACCAAGCATTCGCGAACCCGTTGCGCGCTCAGGGCAGCCAGTGACATGGCTAGCAACGCAGACCTCACCAACCTGCTGCTCCGCATGGCCATGCAGCAGATGGGCAACGCAGCGCAGGCCGCGCCGCTCCAGCCGCAGCCGCCTCCTCAGTCAGACTTCGGGCAGTTGGCGATGCTCCTGTCAGCGCAGCAGGCTGCGCAGAACCAGCCTGCGCAAGCGAAGGCGGCGCCGCCGTCTACTCCAGCGGCGCAGGACCCTGCTGACCCGCAGGCTGCCGTGGGCAAGTCGGTCGCGGCCGTCGCCAACCCCGACGTTGGGTCTCCTTGTGAACTCCTGTTCGGGGGCGAGTCGCAGCGGATCTCGACGTCCTACCGCTACCTTGGGGCAGCGTGGAAGTTCAATGCGCGGACCGTCCTCCCTCGGAAGATGAAGGTGCAGGCGTTGCAGTCCTACGACAGCAGGCGTTTCTCGCCCATATTGCTTAGTGGCCTGTGCGACGACGCGGTGGACGAGCTGGTCTTCATTGCGAGCAACCTGGGCCCTGAGACGCGCATCAAGGACTTCGCGGCGAAGACCAAGGGGGAGATGAGGGAGGCGATCGCAGCAGAGATCGCCAGGATCGTGAACGTGTACCCGACGCGCCTCAACGACTGGAGCGCCGACCTCAGAAACACGAACGCCATGGCGATGCGCTTGGGATACCCTGTCGAGCGGATGCCCGTCGATCGCAGGGGTGGGCTCGGCGAGGGCGGATGCGCCCGCCAGCAGGTCGCGCCGCCGATGGCGCGGATCGCCGCCCCGAGCATGGGCGACGCCAGGGCGCCCGCGAAGGCGAAGGGGCCGCTGAAGGCGCCTGAGGGGCCCAAGTTCAGTTCCCAGGATGAGTTCGAGGCGGCGCTGTTCGACGACCTGCAGGGCTCAGGAACGCCTGATGCCGCGGCCGCGGCCGCGCCCTCTGGTCGTGGCGCCGCAGGCAGCCCCGCCGACCCGCCAGCAGGATCGGCGTCGGGGGACGCGCTGCCGTCCAGCTTCGCCCCCTTCCAGGGCAAGGGGCTTAAGCTCACGTCTGAGGGCCAGCTGGAGCTGACCCCCGAGCAATTGCAGAACCTCGTGCAGATCGCGAACCCGAAGGCAGCCTCGCATGTCGCGCCCGACCCCAGCCAGCCCTCAGCTCCTCTCGATGGGGCGCCGCCCGGGAAGAAGCAGAAGGTGGAGGCCACAGGCGAGGCAAACAATGACGACGCCCTCTGAGGCGGGAGTGTCGTCAGCCGAGGTGTTGCGGTGAGCCTCGCCAGTCACATTGCCATTTTTTTGTCTTGCGCAGGCTGGCCTGATAACGTAGCAGTCGTGAGAGAGTGATGCGACGCACATGATGTAACATGGTGGTGTTAACTGGCCAGCCTTGCGTCTCCTTGGTTTGAAATTCTGCCGTGTCCTGCGAACCCGCAGTGGGCGCTGAGGGCTCGCAATCAGGGTGAATGATTGCGCGCGGAATGCGCTGCGGGGCTGGGGCAGGCGCGCGGGCAGCAGCCGAGCTAGCGCGTGCGATGGCAATCGTGATAGTGCTTGCGAAGATGTCCAGATTCGAAACCTCCCTTCGCCAACCACGCCATCATGCGAGTCAAGGCCCTGTAGGGAGCTCACATGGGGGGAGGGAGGGGCGTGCCACATGCTCTTGTCAGTGGCCTTCGGGGTCGCAATACCCCTCGGAGCCATCTCGGAGACCTCTTGGTGCCATCAGATTCCCATCGTGGCGCGACGTCTTCTCAGGACAACATCTGTTAGCATAAGCCGCGACACCAATCGTTGCAAACAAATCGTTCGGGCTCACCCCAGGCAATCGTCCCAATTCCAGTCCCAGAACGGACGAGGGCCCCCGCTTCGCGACCACGAGAGGCCAGTATGCCCCAGGAGCCCCCCCCCCCGACGACACCCGCAACAACATGACATTTGTTGCGGGTGGCACCGCTGTCGTGACACCAAGCTTTGCGAGGTTTGCTTGGGGCCCGTTGCAAGCCTGTCTTGGGCCATCTCGGAGCCCCGCCCAGAATTTCGCTCGTGACTTTGGGGGCCTCTTGAGTCTGAGTCGGGGCGCTTCTGGATCTCAGGGCATTCTGGTAACAAACCCCCTCCGCCCATCGAGCATCGGGGCGTTGCTCCTGCCACCCCATCCTTACATCCCCAACCCTGCCCTGCCCACCCGCCCCCCGCGGTCTCCTCCGCCAGGCCGCCTCCTCCTCCGCCGACCACAGCCATTTTGGCTCAACCTGTTGCGATTTGCTGGAGGCATCGCCTCCAGCTGCGCCCGCCGCATGCCACCGGCTGGCGTCGATGGGCGGCGCTGGCGACGAGGGGAGGCGGGCGCGGCCGCCGACGTCCCTAACATGGGACAGGGCGACAGAGGCCACGATCAATATCAAGGGGCTCACTCGGGAGGGCTACGCGGTATACCAGCTAGCGAACCAAGACTTGGGGCGCTCGTTGCACTGGCTCCAGGACCATTGGCTGGCCGAGCTCGGCGTGAAAAACTACGGAGCATTCCACAAGTCTGAAAGGCGCAAGGGTTTGTTCCAGCACCTTAGCCACGCGCACGCTCTGGATGCTGGCTCGCACGACCTCGGCGGCAGCGGTGGTGTCACTAGCGTATCGGTGAGGACCGACTTGATGCTGCCGTGGCTGCTGTACAAGTTCGTTCACAGTTCCGATGACAGTGGGCGGTCCCCCATTTCGAGCACCATCGGCGCGTGGTTGCAGATTTCGGTTGACGGGCTGAGCCGCGTTCCCGCGGGAGGTGCATGCGCAGTTGAGGCGCACTCCGAAGGCAGGTTGACTTCCGATTGCTTGACGCTGGACTTCGCCACTGGAGCAGTCGCAGGCTGGGGCGAGGCCGTTGCTGGCCCGCGCTTGTGCGATGGCTGGGCTGCATTCTTGGCGGGCGCGGGGAAGTTGAGCCACCTCCGCGCCCGAGGGGATGCGCATTCTGTCGTGTCGGTTCTGTTGTTCGCACTATCGAATATGGCTTCGCGGGTTGGTGAACCTCGCCAGCGTTTTCATCCAGGTGCTCAGGCTGTGCTTGCGTTTTGCTGCAAGGCGCTCGCCATGGGCATGGAGGCCTACATCCTCTTCCACCACTTCCCGTTGCAGGACCCAGCCGTGCCAGACCGACTGGAGGAGCTGAGGTGCATAGAACACCGTCGACGCCTCGACCCCCAAGCAATCGTCGCCGCGATGCGGAAGGCAAGGGAGGTCGCTGGCTCGTCCTATCAGACCGTGACAGCGGTGACCGGATCCAAGGATTTGGACAGCAAGATCAGCTACACGATGGCGAGGATGCACAGAGACATGATGAAGAATGCGTTCCGTGGCGCGGCTTCTTTGGCGATGGCGTGGGACCCAGGCGGGTATTCGAGGCGGAGCTACAACGTCGGCTTGGTCGCCCAAACCGCGGCCTCTGGTGACCCCATCGCAGGTGACATGTGTCCGAAGGCGCGATCTGCGGCAACCGCGCTGGTGGTCCCCCGATAGGAGCCCCCCCCGACGAAGCCACAATTGCGGCCACTGTTCTCCAGGGGGGAATCCTCTTAACGACGCGGGGGGGGGCAGCGGTTAGGTTCTCTCGGGGGCTTGGAAATCATGGAATTAGAGTGAGGAAACCTCTTAAAACCATGATGTAAACATCTCCTACAGTTGATGCGAAAATCTCCCCAGGTTTTTGTATCCGGTTTTTCTCTGATGCGAGGTAGCGTTTAGGTCGCCTAACCTTGATCTCCCCTCAACCCCCCCCGCAGGGGGCAGGTCGTCTGGGGTCGGCCCTCAGCGGGCCTCACCTCAGCTTTACCCGCGCGGGGAAGGTTGATTGACCCCGTCTCTCCAGGGGTGATTCTTCTGTCCCCCCTCAGGCCGCAAGCGGCCTGTGAGAGAGGCACGCGTGGCCTAAGGCCCATCTCGCGTCGCGGTTGCCGCAGATTTTGCCTTCAAGACGATTCGCAAGAAAGTCGACTTGCAGTTCATAGCTGACGACCCTGAGCTTAACGAGGCGTGGGCCTCGGACAAGATGGACAAGGAGGCGGCATTCTTGAACATGATCGTTGTACTCACTGAGCTCGCCCAGTTGACCGATCGGCCGCTGACTGATTTCTGCCTCGCACCAGGCCTGAACTTACGTCCTGTGCAGAATGAGGAGAAACGACTTCTACTTGAGGGAGTGTATGTCCTTTTCAATGAGAGCCGGGTCGAGGCTTCAGTAGAGATGCCACCTGAGTTCTGGACCTTCGAGTTCCCGATTGTATCGCACACGACAGATCGCAGCTCCATCAACTCATCATTATTGCATTTCTTGATAGCGCAGAAATACTTGTATGTTCCCTGGTTCGACCCCATGCATGCTTTGTGGAATTCTCTCAAGAACAGCGCTAAGCGCGTCGGGCCATGGTCTGGGAGGAAGAAGGGATACATGTGGAAGAAGGTGTTGGAGTTTGTCACGATCTGCAACATGAACTCAGGACCGCATCGATCGGGCCAGTGGTTCGACCTTAAGAAGGACACTGGGAATGGTATGTGCAGGAGGGCAAACGACTACCATCCGATGGGGGCGGCGAGGGAGGGGCTGAAAACGAATGAACTGAACGTGGCGCTCGAAGTAGCGCGCGGGGGGAACCGCGGGATGCTAGGCCCAGGCAGTGCAATCTTGGGGCAGGGGCGTTCTGGTGCGAAACCAATGGCGGAACCCAAACGTTCGGGATGATGGCAAACACCAGGCAAGGCCGGTTGTCCTTGGTGGTTTATGGTGTATTGTTCGGCTTTCTCCCCCCGCACCCTCTCCTCGCCGCGCCCAGCTGGGATGTCGGGACGTTTGCTCGCCTGCAGGATGCCTGTCGTCGATGGTGCCAGATCTACAACGAGGCCTCGCCAGAGTTCTTGGAGGTTGCACATAAGTTCGGCGCTGCCATTGGCGTCGACGCTGCGTCTAAGTCAGGCATCGAAGAGATCTCCGGCAAGATGGGTAAACTTCGCAGTTGCAACGAGGACGGGCCTCATTGAAAGTTGATGCGTTTCTTGAGCATCAACGATTTTTGGGAGTGGCATAAGAAAGAGCTGTGGGGCCTTCGGACCGTCCTCAAGTTGATGTCAGACGTGCGCGGCAAGGGGGGCGGGCTCTCCGCCGTTGTCCACGCAGGCACGAGTCGAGGGGCCACGGACGGAGACGTGCAGCGGGAGATTTCGAAGCAGGCGGGCACGATCAAGAAGGCGTTCTCTTTCATCAGCGATGACATGTACAGTGCGCTTTCAGTTTTTTGCGCATCATCTCGTGCGCAGCGGCGCCAATATGGCCACAGGGCGAGCGAGATCACGACCATTGCCCCAGGGAGAGACTACGACTACAAACTTCAGGCTGGCGCCTGGAAGGCGGAGTTCATACAGACCGTCATCACGTGCATGAACGACGTGGCGATGATCGGCGAGATGGGTTTGAAAGCGACCGACGACCCAGATGGCAAACGCGGCGCCGAGGCATTTGAGTTCATGGTGAGGGTTTTGAAGGAGAGGTACGATTCCATCGCGCCAGAGCTCTTCGGCTATCCAGGGAAGTTTCGGCTGGCACTCGGTCGGAGCTTGAGCCCCCAGGATCGGCTGAGACTGAGGAGAGATATCATAAACTTCGATTGGAAGCTCATCCTGGAGGTGGAGAAGGCGTCCTTGTCCAGAGCAGACGCGAAGCAAGTACTGGGTGATATATTCTGGGCGAGATGGCCGATCAATCGATTAACGTTTGGGCAGAATGAGAGAGAATTGGAAGCCGCACTCGACATCACCGATGGTTTCATTCGAACCGCCACTGCCGCCACCGAGCACTGGCCAGATTCCAAGGGGCCAGAAGACGTGCACCAGCACATTCGAGACGAAGGTCGGGCCAAGCGGAACACGACCATTGCTCCGAATCGTTTGTACAGGGCGCAGCAGGAGTGCAACATTGCTGGCTCGCGCGGCATGAAGACCTTTCACGTGAGCGACGAGGAGGTGTCCCATAACATTTACCATCGTGACAATCAGGAGTCCATCGCCGCCGAGTTCAGAGGCGACCCGAGTCTGATGCCACCTGCACTCCGACGAATACTCGACAGAGGCTACGAGTACAGCTCGCCGAGTGGGCAGTCGTATGCAAAGGCGCAGTCAGCGTGGGCATGGCTTCAAGCATGGGCGAACATGGGAAGCGAACGGCCAAACCTTCTGAGCTCATGGCATGGCAGGATGGTCCCAGAACTTTCTATATTGTTGCATCCAGCCTCTGGTTCGGCAATGGTGGTCGTTAGCCAGCAGTTGTGGAGCCTATTCGTGTGCGACCTCGACCGTGGTCGTAAAGGCGACGTAAGCTATTTCAGGATGCGGTCTGGCGCAGGCGCGTTCCACGACTACTTCGTGACCGACCCGACGAGCTACAAGGTAGTGAACATATCCAAGGTAATGTTCCTCGCTGGCGTTGGCAAGGTGCTCTTGGTGTCGGAGGAGCCCATGACGCCGCTGGCGGCGTCGCTGCTTGCAGGCATACCCCTGGCACTGGACCACATGAACAACATCGCGGCCTTGATGGGTCTAGACCTCGGTGAGTCTGCCAAGACGTCGGCGGGGGCCGCTCGCGAAAAGCTGACTGAGTTGACGTTCGCTGGGTTCCCAGACCTCATCGCGAAGTGCACTGCCGCCCTCCACGCGCACGGCGAGAACGATCTCGGCGCGGAGGAGCTCGGAGAGGACTTCATCAGCATGCTCGATGAGATCTTAGCCCACGACGCCCAGAACTGCAGCGAGATCCAGGCGTTCCGCACTGTGCTGAAGCAACAGAGGGTGAAGCGCATGGTCGAGAAGAGGAACGCCAGGCGAGATGCCAAGAAGGCCGCCGCGATCGAGAAGGGCAAGAAGAAGCTCGCCAAGGGCAAGCTTGCCTCGGGGGTCGGCGCAAAGCTGGCGGCCGCCAAAGCCTTGGCAGATGGCGACCCCGAGCAACCTGATGGCGGTCCAGCTGGGGGTGCCGTCGGAGGATTTCCAGGATGCCCCACAGGCGCTGGCGGCGCCGAGGCATGCGCCGCCTCAGGTGGCTGTGGCGGCGGCAGCGGCGGCGCGCCAGGCCCAATGCCGCTCCCGCATGCGCCACCTGGCGGTCATGGCGCTGGCGCCGCTGGCATCGCCGCGGGCAGCGGTGAGGCCCCGCCCCTGCCGCCCCCTCACAAGAAGCCGAAGATTGGCAAGGCGGACGGCGGCGCCCCGATCGCACACGGTTCGAAATTGCCGCGTTCAGAGCCATTCGGGCCGTGGCAGATCGCAGAGGTCTACACTGGTGGTGTGTGCGTCGGATGGGAGGCGCGCTGCCTTGACCATACCGACCCCGCAACGCCGCACCAGTTGTGTGTGAAGCATTGCACCATGGGCAAGGGCAAGGACGGCCAGCCTGCCTTGTCTTACGAGACGTGCAGGAGGCGGATGAAGCAGTGGCTCCTGATTGGGCGGGGGATTCCAGAGAACCAGCGAACCCGCCACGTCTACACCGATGCTCGGACCAATGACCTGTTGCCCAGCTCCGAGGCTGAGCTCGACGCCGCGGCTGCGGCAGAACTTCGCAAGCGGAAAGCCGCTGCCAAGTGATAGGTGCGCGGCCGTGCCGCGCTATTCTGCTGAGCTTAAACGCCGAGCACGTCCCATCCTCCCTTCATCCGTGCCCTCCATCCCTACAGGCTGGGGGAGGGGATGGCCGGTGGGCGAAAGAGCCCCATCGAATGAGCTTTGTTACTTCAGAATTCCAAGAAGGGCCTTCCAATTTGCAACGACGAACACGCCTCGAAAACGCACTCTCTGGGAATCAACTAAAGTGCCGTCTTGGTGCCGTCTCGATCCCCACCGTATTTGCGACGACCGTTGCAACGTTGTGTTTCGTCATCTTCGGCACTACCCGCTTCAAACTTCTCTAGATCCCATCTCGGTTCTGATCGTTGCAACGTTGTCTCGGGGCGTCTTGGGTGCCGTCTCGGTGCTATGGCGCCAGCACAGTGCCATCGCGGTGGGTATCATTCGTGCAATGCATGTGCACCTATGTGCGCGTATCGGGGCCAGCCTTCGAAAGCATATCCCTGGCCAACTTCGATGCCAACCCTTGTCCTTCGGGCCTCTTTGCTGGTCCGTGTGGGGCTTTATCGGAACCACCGCTGGATTCCTCATTCGATATCAGTAGTCGGTGGCGCTCAAGCGAGAGTGCTTCTGGACCTCAGGGTCCTCTGGCGGCCACGTCGTCGACGACGACGAAAAGGAGGAGGAGGAGGAGGAGGGGGAGAAGGAAGAGGAGGAGGAGGAGGAGGAGCAGCAGAAGAAGGAGAAGCAGGAGGAGGAGGACGAAGAGGAGGAGGAGGAGGAGGAGGAGGAGAAGGAGGAGCAGGAGCAGGAGCAGGAGCAGCAGCAGCAGCAGCAGCAGGAGCAGGAGCAGGAGCAGCAGGATCAGGAGGAGGAGAATGAGGAGGGTAAGGAGGAGGAGGAGGAGGAGGACGAGGAGGAGGAGGAGGAGGAGGAGGAGGAGGAGGGAGGAGGAGGATGAGAGGAGGAGGAGGAGCAGGAGGGAGGAGGAGGAGGATAGGATGAGGATGAGGAGGAGGAGGAGGAGGAGGAGGAGGAGGAGGAGAGGAGAGGAGGAGGAGGAGGAGGAGGAGGAGGAGGAGGACGTGGGGTCGTCTCAACGGCATCGTCGCCGCCGTCGTCGACGACGTGGCCAGCGTCGCAATCGCCGTCATCATTCGTGTCGTGTCATCGCCGTCGCCCTCATTGTCGCCGCCGTTGTCCTCGCCGTCGTTGTCATCATCTTCGTCGCCGTCGCCGTCGACGCCGCCGTCGTCGCCGTCACAGTCGGAGTCGTCGCCTTTGTCGTCGCCGTGGCCGCCGCCACCGAAGCCGTAATCATCGTCGCCGTCGTTGTCGCCGTCGTTGTGTCATTGTTGTCGTCAATTGTTGTCGTCGCCGCTGCGGCTGCTGCCGTCGTCGTCGCCGCCCCCTCCCCCACCGCCATTTTGGCTCGAACCTTACGGACGCGAACGTCCATGCGTGGCGTTACTGACGCCGAGTAGTCCGTGCCGTTGCGCGGGGCGCTCCGTTCTTGAAAAGAGATGGGCGTACGTGGTCTGTTTTGCTTCGCCACTGTCGGGGGCGCTACGCCCGCTGATTGGTTCGTTTGCCACGCAAATTGGTTTCGTCAGCGCGGTCCGCCGTCCGCGCTCTCGGCGGCGCTGCGCCCGCGCGCGATGGCGTACGCTGCAACGCCGACCCACAAGGGTTTCTCGGTGACGCAGCGCCAGGGTTCGAGTGGCCTTGCGTGTTTCGGCATTTGCATTGGTGGCCTTCTGTTTGTTTCGGATCTTCCCCTCAAGGCTCCGTGTAACACCCATGCTGCTAGTTCTTGCTGTCGCCGCCCTCATCTTCGAACGTTTTTTTTTCAGTTGCCACAATGTTTATTTTCGCTCCGCCAGCGCTTTTTCACACTCCATCCCACCCCATCCAACCTGGCCCAAGCCGCGGTCCAATGATCCTGCATCTGATTTCTATGTCAAAGATGCCTACCTGTTACGGGTGGGGGCCTTCACAAAACTAGAAGGTGCCTCAGTACATCGTATCAATGATATCCTTCCAAATCTCTGCAGCCACTGGCCTCTTGAGCTTGAGTGTCGGCGTGAACTCGCCCGTCTCGATGGAGAAGTCCCGCGGCAGAATGGCGAACCTTTGGATCTTGAAGGCGTTGTTGTGGCAGACCAGCGAGTTCGCGTTCGTTTTGTCAAGCCCCTGCTGGATGTAACTCTGCCACACGGGATCTTTCAGCGCCTCCGAGATGGTCTTCACCTTCGGGTTGACCTGCAAAGCCGCGCCCGCCAAGTTGTCGGTGCCTGGGAACTCACCCGTGGAACCCTCCGCGACCAGGGTCACCAAAGCGACATTGTACTTGCGGTTATCGCCTACCATCATGACGTTGGACAGGGCGGGGCAGTTCTGCTTCAGGTCGGCCTCGATTGGGACTGGTGCGATGTTCTCGCCCCCGGCACCTATGATCAGCTCCTTGTACCGTCCAGTTATCCTGAGGAAGCCGTCCACACCGATGGTGCCCTTGTCCCCGCTGTAGGAAGAACAAAACATGGCATAAACACAAACTTTCGGAGGTCCGCACGGATTTCTTGGATTGGCGCTGGGCCACCTCCCGTGCGCGCGGAGCGCCACACAGACGGTGCCGGAGGCGCCGCCAGTGGGGCCCCAGCACCGATCCATGAAATCCGCGGGGACCTCCGAAAATTGATGCCAGTGCCGTGTTGTGTTCTTCGGGCTGTGGAGCCAGCCCTCGTCGTCGATGGCCTCCCGCGTCTTCTTCTCGATGTCGGCCACGTGCTCCGCGCCCCACTGCGGATTGGCCAGGTACCCCATCATCACGTGCCGCCCCCGGAAGCAGATCTCGCCCTGCTCCTCCTCGTGGCGGGCGCGCGTGGGGGATTGACAGGACGGGGACAGCCTTCCGATGAGGCGAGGGCCTCTTAGAGTACGGGTACCCAGATACGATTGGCTCAGGATGCGTTTCAGGAAATTCTGGAGTACCTAGCGGCCCTCGTCTCCGGAGCTCATGCGGAAAGGCAGGAAATTCTGATACAGTCAACCCGTATCATACGGATGCGCGGCAAGGATGCCAGTGCCTTGGAGGCCCATGTGCAAGTTTTTCAAACGCGGCTGACCAGCGAAAGTCGCTGAGGATGGGCCGAAGGGGTAAGGATGCAAGGGTACCCTTGGGAAGGGTGCCCGTCCTTCCTATGCAGGTGGACTGTAGTATCCGTATCATAACCTGCTGCTCCTCCAATTCCATACCTCACGCCGCACCGCCGGCCCCTCAGGTCCCTTGGGGTTTCCGTGACTGTGGCCTGCAGCCGTCCCGCTGGACGTCCGCACCCAGCGGCCTACACAATCGAGCAGAGGATGGGAGACGGGAGAGAGCAGCAGGCTGAGGAGCAGGAAGACTCGGCGACTCCAAAGGGTGTGGTTTGCAAAGGATGGAACCTTGGGGGGCGCGCGGGGGCCTCGACAGAGTTCTCCCGCGCCCCGAGGAGGCCCGACGAGGACAGTGTCGTGCCCCCCAGGCCCCAACGGTGCCGATCGCAAACCACACCCTGGCGTAACCATACCCTTTGTAGTCGCCGAAAGACGTCGCGCAGACGGCGAGCTTCGCACTCCTGGGGAACGGGGGCGAGGGGCATGGTCTGGATCTCGGGGACTGGTGCGCGCGGTGGCTGGGACTGATGCGGCGCGCTTGTTGACGTCACAGGCTGGCGGCGCGCGAGGCTTCGTAGAAGGAGGCTGCTTCTTAGAAGACGCAGGCCTTACATCTATAAAGAGAAGGCCCGCACCTTCTGAGAAGCGACCTCCTTCTAAAAAGCCTCCCCCCCTCCCCCTACCCCCCGCTGCGCGTGGCCGAAGCTTGCTGACGTCACAGGCTCGCCACACACAAGGTTACCCGTCGCCTGGGGCTCTTGGGAGCCTTGGTGTCCAAACTGTGGCCGTCACCGGGCCGTCTGGGGGTGGGAGCCTTGACGTGAAAACAGTGTCCGTCACTTGGCCATCTTGAGGCCCTCCAGGGGGTCTCTTCAGAGACTAGTTGAGGCATGCCGAGGGCCTCTTGGGTGGCTCTTGGTCCGTCTCGGGGGCTCCTGCACGCCTCCGGAGGCTGGCGCTCTTCTTGAAAGATTAGTAAACTTGATTTCTGCGACCCACGTGTCACGCGAAACGGAGAGTATGAGGAGGAAGAGGAGGAGGTAGAGAGGAGGGGGAACATGGAGAGGGATGGGGAGCAGGAGGATAAGGAGGAGGAAAGTGAGAGGGAGATGGAAACGGAGCAGGAGGACGATGGCAGAACAGGCGGGCAGGATGTGTGGGCCGTGCTGGAAGGTGAGATCAGGGGCGGGCGAGGTCACATGCCGCCCACGTGCCTTGGTTGTGGGCCATCAGCCTCGTTGGGAAGCGTCTTGGCGGGTTCTAGACGGAGAAGAGGAGGAGGAGGAGGCGGAGGAGGAGGAGGAGGAGGAGGAGGAAGTTAGGTTAGGACAGCCCAGAGGGGAGGAGACTCGCAAGTCTGAAACAAGGGTCGTGGCACTAATCCGAAATGGATTTGCTGCCCTGGGGGACCGAGCTCCCAACACTCTGAACAGGGCCCGCGACAGGGGGCCACAACCAAAACTAATCCTCCGCTCTGTGAGCCTCCCTGGCTCGCGCACGCTCCGCGAGTGCAGCCAGCCGTCTCTCATACTCTGGGACGGGGGGGGCACAAGAGAGGCCGGTAGGTACTGAAGTACGGGCAAAAGTCTTACAACGCGGCTTGGGCTGCACATGCAACGCTGAGACCACAGCGGCTCCATCAATAAACTGACGGACGCGACTGCCAGGGCCCAAGCCCCGACAGTACTTGCGGAGTGTTTCCCGGCCCTTTCTCGTGGGTCTCTGGCAGACCTTATCGAGGTAACGAGAACAACGTTGGGCCCAACAACAACGTCGAATACACAGAAGCCGCAAACGGGTTTGCTTGACTTTGGAAGGCTCAGGGGCTCTGGGGTGGACCTCGTGAGAGGCCACACCAACGATAAGGTGTCCCAGAGAAGAACACCTTGAAGGACTCACTCAGGGGCCCCAGAACATCCCATGGCCTCCCGAGACGATCCCCTGTGGTTACCCATCGGACAATGCTTGCACTGTGCTTCGAGCGGCCCATTCTCCCACCCATGCCAGCAAAAAGCGCGCTTGACGGATCGGTGGCGTGAAAGCGGGCGGTCTCTGTTGGTTCTGGTCTGGAAGACACTGGGCACATCATCATCAGCAAACTTTACAAACAGAGAAGCCTTCTTCACTCCATCTTCTGGCCTGTCGGTCGCCTCTGAACCCGCAGGTTCATAAAGCTCGAGTGCCTCTTTAGCGTGAGTCTCGGCAGCGCGGTTCGCCTTCGCTGGGCCGCGCTCCAGCGGCGGTAAGTTATCGATCGCATCCCCGCCCCGATGGGCTCTGCCATGCTGGACTGTCTCAACGTGGCCATGTCTTTGTTCTACGAACGTACCGTCTGGACGAACCACTGCGATCGTGCCACTGGGCGCGGCGTCGCGCCGAAGGCATCGACGGCCACGCGCTGGGGCGAGAAGATGCAGCGACTTTGGCTTCAATTTTGGAGAAGCTCCCTGCAGCAAACTTGACGGAGTGGCAGTCAGCCGTTCGCTGCGGAAGGTGATCTCGAACACGAGCCATGCCGAATACCGATCGCTGAAGCACTGCGTGATGGCCCGGTCCAACGGGATATTTCAAAGCTCTGCCGCGGAAGCCCCTGTTCGCACTGAAGCCGCGCCGTTCGAGATGCTGGGGGGAACAAGGAGGGGAGAGCAGGAGGACCACTGCCGCGTGAAACTTTAAAATGCAGGCCGAGGGTAGAAATGTCTCGCCTCATACTCAGAGGAGCCAACCAAGTTGAACTCGCAGAGCTCTGCCTCGCCTGTCAAGGACACCTGGTCAAGAAATCCAACCTGGATGTCATCGATCATTTTCAAGGCCGCGTCTGCGGCGTCGAAGATCGCGCCTATTGCCCCCTCGATGAAAGAATGCGCGTGGCACTTGCAAAAGCGGACCGTGTCCTGGGTAGTGTAGAAGTGGCCAGTCTGGAGCAGCTCCTTCAACCTCCATGGCGCCTCTCTGTAGACACCTTCTGGGCAGAGTAGAACGTGGAAAACTTGAGATCGAACGGGGCACCCAATTTGTTGAAATTCCCCCCGCAAGGCCGGTGCTTGTCTAAGATGCGTGCGCTTTCCTTCTCGGGCTCGAAGACCACTTGGTTGGCGGCCTCCCACGCGTGAAAGCGATGCTTGTCGTGCGTGGCACGCTCGAAAAATATCTGCGTTGTCTGACGTGCCGCTGAGCACTTTCCAACAGTTCAAATCGCCCGCAGAAACGCATTCCTCGACGCCGGCGCTCGAAAATTACTGTCTGGCGCCTGCGTAGAATACGCTCCAGAAGGGCGGGCCGAGAACTGCGCCCTGGAACGCCGCGTCCTCCAGCGCCAAAAGGGTCCGAGAACGCGCGGTCCGGGCGTGCTCTGGCCGCGCGGGGCTCCAGCCATGCGGCCATGACGTTGACGAGCTCCTCGGCATTTCCGGCCGCCTTCAGTCAGGGGGGAAAAAACACACAGACACAATTAATCGTCGATCCCATGAAAAATATTTGGAAATCCGGGAAATCCTGCTATTTGTGTGCGTTTATTTGTGTGTCCCAGGGCCCCATTGATTCAGTTCTGTAGTGCGCCTTGCAGATCGCGTCCCGTCAGAAGTAGCAGGCGCGTCTGGGCAGGATGGCCACCCGGCAGGATGGCCACCCGGCGCCGACTGCCGACGGCCCAAGTCCAGCGACTAACTGCATGCGCAAGGGCGTCGCGATAGCCGCGGCCGCGTTGGCGCGCGAGCTGGCGGCCACCACGTGCTTGCTTATGGGCGAAAATCCTCCCCGCTGCTTTGCTGATCTGTGAAGTTAGATGTATACCGCGGTAATTTTTAGCTCTCGACTGGGCCTGCCGCTCGAAGAGATGAAAGAGCCAATGGGTCTTCCGAAATTTAGGCCGGGCGCCGCGCTGTAAAATAGCGGGGGCAAGAAGAAGGAGCGGCGCGGCCAATTCTCCGGGGCATCTCTGCAAAAGGCGCGCCGGGGCAGCGTCGGGGCCAGCGCCGGGATCTCCGCGAAGACTCCGACGAACTCGCGAGGCGCCACGCCGCCGAGAAAAAACATAAACTGCTATGATTTGGCTCGCGGGCGTAGAGATCTCCAAGAAATCGTTCTGCTGTTGCGAACAGGTCAACGCTATCCTTGGGCCCCAAGGCCCAAGCGCCAGAAGTGGACGACAACGGAATAATAGATGCGCGTGAGTTGCCAGCCGAGAGCATCGGGGAGTCGCATAACAAGAACCGTCACTTTTTGCAAATCGGGCGCATCTCCAGAATGCGTCGTCGTGCGCGAACGGCGCGCGGCACGGAAATCCACCTGGGCAAGCCTTTTGCCGCTCGCCTTATTCTGACGCACCGTGGGCAACGATTTCCTCGCCACTGAGCTTTCAACAACGCTGATGGAGCCACGGGTGCGTCGACTTCCGCGCGCGCGCAATGAACTCGAGAACGCGCCCTCTGGCCGCGCGCAAAAGGAATGCCGCGAGCTTCTCCGCCTCAAACGGCGGGCCGCAGTTCGAGCAGAAACCTCGCCAATCAACGTTTCGGCGGGCCGTGTGGGCCCGTTTCCAATCGGCCTGCGCGAACGACCGCTGCTCTCGTGCAATAGGGGCAGCGCGAGAAACTCGCGCGTCAATCGTCGCGCGTGCAATGTCATGATCAGCGGTAGGGGAATAGCATTGCGCGCCGCTCCCGACGCGAGGTCTGGAACAACGAGGTCGAGCAAGCATTTGCCCAGCGCGGGCTTGCCCATTTTGTCCAGCGGCCCAATGTTCAAACGCGTTTTCTTTGATTCGCCCCTTGCCTTCCCGGGAGGTGCCGTCCGACAGATGAAGCCAAGGCTTGCGGTGAACGTGGATATCGCTGATGAGCAGAGCGCGGACTGCGCGGCCACGGCGTCGACGCCGCTCGCGCTCGCAAGACCGCGCGGAAGCGATCTCTCCCGAGCCTGGCGGGCGATGCCAGAGCGCAAGAAGGAGGCCTCTGATGAGATGCCCTTCCAGAGATCCCGCGAACGCGCAAACGCCTGCGAACGTCCCGGGCAACGACGCCTGGGCCACGGCTGCAGAACTGCGCGGGCACTCGCGCTGCGATCAGCGATTTGACCGGCGACGGCCGCAGAGAAAACGTCAGCCATGGCGGGGGCCGGCGGAAAACTCCCAGGCGCAGTGCAGCGCGCAGGAGAAAGAGCGGCTTCGACCCGGGGGCCAAACATAACGACGGCGAACGCAGCGCGCCGAAAACAAGACAAATAGAGCTGCCACCGTCCACCACCAGGAGAAAATGTAGCTTCTTCGGGCTCGCGGTCGGGAAACAGCCCCCCATCCCCCCCCCCCCAGCGCGAGCGATGGGGGCTCCGAGCGCGGGCGAGGCAGCCCCTGGCAGCGCCGAGACCGCGCCTATAGGTCAGACTCTCAGGCCGCCCCCCCTCGCCTCCCCAGCAAGGAAACGCGGAGGCGTCCGAGTCAGAGCGGGCCTGCGAAACAGCGGGGGTCGCGCGATCGACCAGTCGGCGGCGCACTGCGTCTGGCACCCCACGTTCGCAAAAACCAGCCCTGGGCGAGCAATGCCCATTGGCGCGGGCAAATTGCACTGTCCAAAAGAAGTCATTGGCGGCAGCTCGCACGAAATGCTTGTGGCTTTCTGCGTGCTTGGCCGCCTTGGCCTCCGCGCAACTCGCCGCCGCTCCCAGGCGCGCCCTTGCCCCGGCCAGCAACCCCACCTCCCACCCCAGAGCGCTCTCGTGGGCATCCTGGAAGGCAGTGCGAAACGTTCTACTTGGCATAGCTAGAGAGCACCGTGCGAGCTGGATAATGATTCCATCCTGGTCAACCCGCGCAGCGGCTAAGGCGGGCTTCCATCTTTCTCGGGCCAAGCATTGCGGCGCCCTGGAAATCAGGCCCCGGGCCCGGGCCCGCGCTGGCGGCGGACGGCGAGCAGCTCCGCGCCATCCGCCCCGTTGATCTCCGCGCCGCACTGGGCGGCCATCTTCATTCCAGTCACGCAGACGCGCCCATGTCGCCCAGGAGCCTTCCTCGTGGACTCGAGCAAAGCAGACTTAGACGCGCGCTGCAGGTACTTCCCCATTCGAGCACGCTTCTTCCGAGCAGCGCGAAGAAGGGCGAATAAGGGCGCGGCGGCGACCGCGGGCGAAATCCGCGCCCAGGTAAGAGACTGCCACCGTGGGCGCGTCCTTGGCGAGGCCTGTTTGCTCCGCCACCACCTGCCCTATATGCGCATAACTGGCCGCAATCGCAACCGTGTCATTGAGCGTCGCTGGCAGCCGCTTTGACGCCGCCTGGAAGCGCATGCCAGCGTTAACGGCGACTCCAATTAACATGTCACGATCTCTACCACTCACGCGCGCCCCTGCAGTAACAATATAGCTCATGGAACCCACGTGCGGGTTGCCCTGAATGCGCGAAACATACTCGGCAATCGTGAACGCACGCGTCGCAATATCAACGAATGCACAGCTGCTGGCCAATAGGACTCGGACGGTACACGGACACAGTGGCGAAGCCCAAGGCGAATGATGTGAAGGGCCTTCCACGCGATGAACCTCAGCTTGAGGACAGGCATCGGCATGCCGTATGCGATCAATCGTTCTCTGAGCACATCAAGGGGATACCTTCGTAGAGCTTGCTATAGCCCATCAGCCGCAGGAGGCTATGTCTGCCTTCGCGCACCTCGGCCCCACGGCGCGCCGCCTGAAACCGCGATAAGTCAAGAGCACCTCTGCCGGCACAAGCTCCCCAGGACGGACGGTAGAGTCAGCGATGCAGGTCAGCAAGTTCCCGACTTCGTAAGTTCTGCCGAACTCGGTACAGACCTGAAAACATAGTGATGAAGCGATGACCCTGGTCGGTTTTGGCCAACATCGGCATTGCAGAAAACGTAGTTGTCACTGCAAAAAAACCTAGCCAGAGTCGGAAATTTAGCAAACAATCAGAGGGGGGAAAAGCGATCGATACTTGACGCTGTGGCACGTGGGAAACTGGTGGCCACCCCTCGGATGGCTTGGCAACTCAGTCTTGGCAAAGCTGAGCGGTCATGGAAACAGTCTTGATGAGGCACCTGACTCGCATGTCACAGTTTCTCATGTTTGCTGACCTCTGCCCCCAGAATATCAGCCTTGCCACCGTTGACGATCATCCTTAACTTCGCCCAGTTCCGAACGGCGAACGTCAACCGCAACGTCAAGACACAACTGATCCAGAATGCCTGCAACAATCTGCCAGTCACTGTGGAGACGTGGAGCCACATTGGCTGCGAAGTCATGGCCGTCCAGCGTCGCACTGCTCTCATCATCCGGCTGCTCTCGCCTTGGTGGCTCCTCCCCAAGGGTCGGGCTTTAATTGTGCGATGGAGGCCCTTGCTGCTGGTGAGCCGCGGAATCAGTCCAGGGGGGCGGAAGGGCGAGCGGCCTGACTCCGATGTTAGAACCACCTATATGTGACGCCCCAACTGGGGACAACGGCGTATCTGACGTAGACCGCCAAGCCAACTGATAACTACATCGTGCCATCTGATAACTACATCGTGCCATCCGCTCAGCTCGATGGTAGCCGACATCAGGCCGCTGGGGTAGACTAGGCCGGTCACGACAAGGCCCATCAACCCCTAGAAGCCGGCGAAACATAGCTCGGACCTATTCCAGTGCGCTTGTGCCGAGACTCGAGGCGCTGGCGAACATCAGGTGTGGCTTCAGAGGGTCTGGTGATGAGTGCACATCTCGTCGGCCCTCGCTTTGGCGCCAAGCACTCGCGCACAACTCTGCCAGCACCGATTACAATGAACGACCTGGAGACCAACTAAGCAATAATGCGCGCAACGGCTGGTTGCTACCTCCCCGCAGCATGGCGCCAAGAAGCGCCTCGCACCATTCGCGCCAATTGGATTCATCTCGAGCCTGAACAACATGATTCTCAAATCACAGAGCCGCCCAATCACCTAAATCCTGCCGCATGTCTCGGTAATCACGCACAGCCTGGTCACGATCAGGAACTGTCGCTCGAGGGAGTCCCATGGCACCAGGTGGGCTGTCCTCTATATGGTTGGTCTGTGACGCCCAGGGCCAGCACAGGTGTCACCACCATTCGGTTGCTGTGCGTTGTTGAGGCCGACGAAATCATCCATGTCCAAGTCAGGCTCATCCAATTGCAACCCCATTGACTCCGACACCGAAGGACCTTCAATATGAATGGCAGCATTCACATCCAAATCCATCTGGCTGGTGGCCTCGGCTAGGTGCGCTGTGGAAGGGGCTGGCATTGGCCCCTCTGCACCTGCAGCTCGGATAGCGGCATGTCCAACTGCAACCCTAGCATCCAACACGCTCGTATCAAGTCTGGCACAAAGGCCGTGGCCACAACACTCAGCCTTCCAGAAAACTTCCACCTGAGCCTCTAGGCGCGGCAGTGTCGTGAACTTGTGTTTGAGCATCTTGCTGATGTTCTCGGCTGGCTGGTTTAGCCACGCCCATCAAGGGCGACCAAAGAGGAGGAGGAGGAGGAGGAGGAGGAAGAGGAAGAGGAGGAGGACAACGAAGGACACAAGGAGGCGGCAGTGCCGTTCTGACGTCGTTACAGCGTCTTTGGGGCCTCTGGGGGGCCTCTTTCATCGGAGTCTCTTGGAGGCACCTTGGGGGCGGGGGCCTCTTGGGGTGAGAGGCTCCCAAGGCCAGTTCGATCACCCTCTCTTGGGGTCCCTTGTGGCCGTCTTGGGGTGCTCTGGGGCAGTCATGGGGGCCTCTGGGGCCGTCTTGGGCCCCCCTCTTGCGGGTGTCTCATTGCATGTTGGTACGTCATGGGGGGATATTGTGGGTCTCTTGGGTTCCCTCGAGCGTGCTGAAACTAGCAAGGTGTAGCACTTTTCAATGGTAGCCAGCGTGGGCCACAAACATTTGTTTCTGGCATGCTAGGTGATATAACCTACATTGTGCAAGCTATGTGGCGCAAGCTATGTGGTGCAAGCTACGTGGTGCAATTAATTTCTGTTCGCAATGATGTGTCCACTTCACTGCTCGCGCAAACATCCCACCCACCCACCCGCAACTTGGTTTGCAAATTGGCAACGACAGCGACGCCGCCGACGACAGCGATAACGAAGACGACGACGCCGACAACGACTACGACGACACCGACAACGTCTCCAACGACTTCGACGACGTCGACAACGACGACGACGACGACACCGACGACGACGACGCCGATGCCGACGACGACGATGACAACGACGACGGCGATGACGACGCCGACGACGACGACAACGACGACACCGACGACGACGACGACGTCAACGACGCCGACGACGACGACGACGACGGCGGCGGCGACGACGATGACGACGACGACGAAGACGACGACGACGCCGACGCCGACGACGAAGACGACGACGATGTCGCCAACGAAGACGACGACGAGGGAGGAGGGAGGACGACGACGGCGACAACGACGACAACGACGAGGGAGGAGGGAGGACGGCGACGACGCGAACGACGAAGGAGGAAGGACGGCGACGCCGACGACGACAACGACGAGGGAGGAGGGAAGACGACGACGACGACGACGACGACGGCGACGAAATAGGACGGACGACGACGAGACGCCGACGACGGACGACGACGACGACGACGACGACGACGAGGGAGGAGGAGGAAGGACGACCACGGCGACAACGACGACGGAAATGACCACGACGCCAAAGAGGACGACGACTACGAACACGAGGAAAGACAGAGGACGACGTAGGCGACGACGACGACGACGACGCGGGAGGAAGGAGGACGGCGACGACGACGACGACGACGACGCAAGAGCGCGCGCGCACGCTTTTGTTGAACATCCGTGTTGCGAAACCTTGTGTTTTTGAAGGTTCTGTGGGCACACGATGTTGAAATCCTTCCGAAGCCGATGGGTTTTGAAGGATTTCGGCATACGCGCGCGACGACGCGCGCGTCTGCACTTCGTCCCATGTTTTGCAGAGGATTCTCGCAACGGCACACGCGCAAGGGCGTTCGACAGATTGCGACATGCGCGCGCGCGAAGCCCGTTTGGTAGCATGTTGAGATTTGTTTTAGTAATGATAGTAGTAGTAATAATAATAACAATAGTAGTAGTAGTAGTAGTAGTAGTAGTAGTAGTAGTAGTAATAATACTGATAATACTGATAATAATAATAATAATAATATTATTATTAAAAATCATACTAATAATATAATAATACAAATAGTAAGGATAATAATAATAAAACAATTGTTTTCTTGAGATTTCGCAAGAGCTCGCGCGTGAGGCCTTTTAGCAAATCAATGTTGCGAAACCCTATGTTTTTGTATGTTTTTTGGAAGCTCGATTGCGAAATCCTTCCGGCACCGAAGGTTTTTGGAGGATTTCGGCATGCGCGCGCGACGGCGCGCGCGTGCGCACTTCGTCCCATGTTTTTGCAAGGGATTCGCGAAACATGTTGCTAGAACAAAAGATGTCCCCGCGTGTCGTTTTTTTGTGCAAAAAAAGAACCTCAGGGGGGTCGATACCGGTTCCCCTGGGACAATGTAAATTTATATGTTGAATGGACATGTGGTCAGAATCATATAAGATTTACATACCCGAAAAGGGGGGCGGATAACGCCGGGTGGGGGGGTAGAGACTATTCTTTTTTTTCGAACGGAGAATCAATAGGTGGACCGACCTGTGGGGTGTGGAATTATGTAGTGAAACGTACGTGGTGAAATCCATGTGGTGTGATCTATATGGTGCAAGCCACTTGATGCAATTTAGGTGGTGCAAGCTACGCGGTGGAATTGATTTCTGTTCGCAGTGAGTTGTTCACTCCACTGCCCGCGCAAAAACCCCACTCACCCACCCGCATCTTGGTTTGCACACCTCATGCGGCGGCGATTGCGATGAGTGCTTGGTGTTGGCTGGTGCATCCCTGCGGCCGCGCTGGCCCGCGCACGCTCGCGCGCGCAACGGCCAGGTAGTTTGGCGCGACCGATGAGGCCGCGGTGGTGCTGGCCGCTCGGCGCATCCCCGCGAGCTCTTGAGTGCGAGTCGGCGGCCTTGGCGGGTGCGGTATCATGGCAACGTCGACAATTGTAGACACGATGACGATGATAATGGCGATGCTGGTGACGACAATTGTGGACACGATGATAATATTAGTGGCGATGACGGCGCCGATGCCGATCACGCCGGCGACGATGACGGCGTCTTCGCGTCGGTGATGAAGGCTTTGGAAGGGATTCGAAATGCGCGCGCGGCAGACGCGCGAGAGCGGCAGACACGGATCGTGCCACCCCAGCACGCGCGCAAGGGCGCCCTAACGATTTCGACATGCGCGCGCCTGAAGCCCGCTTGGTAGCATGTTATGAGCATATTGGAAAACGCATGGTCTGTTTAAGAACTCGCAAGAGCGCGCGCACGATTTTGTTGAAAATTCATGTTGCGAAACCTTGTGTTTTTGTATGCTTGTTGGGCACTCGAATTGGAAATGCTCCCGAAACCGAGAGTGCGCGCACGATTTTGTTCAAACTCCGTGTTACGAAAACCTGTGTTTGTTTTTTAATATGTTTTTTGGACGCTCGATTTTGAAATCCTTCCGACACCCAGAGCTTTTGAAGGATTTTGGCATGCGCGCGCGACGACGCGCGCGTGTGAATTTCGTTATTTTTTCGCAAGGGATTTTTGAACATTTATGATTTGTGACAAAGAGTGTGCGCGCATGGGTTTTCTGCAAGGAACCGAGGGGGGCCGATACCGACCGGTTTGGCTGGGATAGTATGAATTCACAGGTAGGATGGACATTGGGTCAGAATCCAATGTGTGCTGCATCGGTTCCCGGGGAACCGGTAAGTCCCGGCCGGGGAGGGTGGCAGAACCAATCCCTTTCAGGAAGGAGAATATTATATGTGGCTTGAGCTACGTGTTGCAATGCAACGCGACGCAAGTCACTACAAAGCAACTCCATGCGATTGCCATACAATGCGATTGCAGCGCAATGCGGTGCGATATCAATGCAATGCGACAACGGGGCGGCGGCGACGGGCGGCGACGAGGCGGCGACGAGGCTGCGACGGGGCAAGCACAAGCCGGCTGCACGAGCCCGCAACGAGGCGGCGACGGGCGGCGACGAGCGGCCACGGGGCGGCGACGGGGCGACAACATGTTGACTGGATCGGCGCACGAGCCCGATTCCCAACACTGCTTGGGTAATCCCACCAGCCCTCTGGGCGCGAGTGGTTTAAGGCGTTTTCTTATATCGTCCCTTTTTCTCCCCGTCGTGGAAGGGCTTAATCACTGTTCCCTACTAATAAACACCCGCTCCCCCAGGCGACTGGTAGCCAACCAGGAACAATGCGGGTCCCCCCCACCATCCCTGAACAACATACACTCTGCCTCCAAATTCGGAGCATGCGCAGCCAACCCGGCCAAAAGCAGTACAGCGTACACTTGGCGGCTGCGGCGGCGGCTGCGGCGGCGGCGGCTGCGGCGGCGGCGGCGGCAGCTGCGGCGGCGGCTGCGGCGGCGGCTGCGGCTGCGGGGGCGGCGGGGGCGGGCGGCGCGGCGGCGGCGGTGCGGCGGCGGCGGCCGTGGTGGCGGCGGCGGCGGTGGCGGTGCGGCAGCGGCTGCGGCGGCTGCGGCGGCGGCGATTTGGCAGCGGGGGCGGCGGGGGCGGCGGCGGGGGCGGCGGCGGCGACGGCGGCGGCGGCGGCGGCGCGGCGGCGGCGGCGGCGGGCAGCGGCGGCGGCGGCGGCGGCGGCGGCGGCGGAGGCGGCGGCGGATTGGCCCCCAGTAGCTGCCCATCCAAAGACAACTGCTGAATATGCTGTCGGGCCAGCTTCGGGTGCTGCGTATGTGTTGGAAGGGCGGATGGGAGTGAGCGAGACGGCTTGCGGGCGGGGAAGGAGTCTTGACCCTCCCCCTACCCTCCACCTGGACCTGGACGTGGCGCCCCGCGACCCCCCTGGAGCGCCCAAGATGGCCCATGATGACTCCAGGAGGGCCTCAAAGCCCAAGATGGCCCCCAAGATGTCTCAATATTGCTCACAATGGAGATTCCAAGACCGCCTCAAGACGGCTCCAAGTGGCCTCGGAGCACCCCCAAGAGAGCTCCCAAGAGGCTAACATCCTCCCAGAACCTAATGAACATCAATGCGGTCTGCTTTCTCGCCTTTTCGCTTCCGCTGGCCTTCCGAAGCTTCAGCATGGCTCCACGATGGCCCAATAGGGCTCCGAGAGGCCCAAGAGGGCGCCAAGACGGCCCCAAGAGCGTCCAATAGCGTTCCAAGAGCGCTCCAACAGGGCCACAGCAGGCGATAGTAGAGGCTCTAGAAGGGCGACGCCAATTACCGCCCCCCCCCATTTTTGATCGATGTCCTACAATATGGCGCCAGGAGGGCCTCCAGGGCTCCCAAGAGAGCCCAAGAGGCACCCCTCAACGGCACCCAAGACGCTCCAAGGGGCCTCCGAGGCCGCCAAGAGACATCCAAGACTGCCTAAGAGGCCTGCAAGGAAGCCCCCGGGCATCCAAGAGGCCTCTGGCCTTGTGCTTACCCTCCTCCTCCTCCTCCGTCTCATCTGCCTGTTCCTTCTCCTTTTATCTCCTCCCCCTCCTCCACTTACTCCTCCATCCTCCTCCTCCATCCTCCTCCTCCTCACTTGACAGATAACGGCTTTCTCTATATTGGTCCTAGACTTCCCTGGCCACCCCCAGCTCTCCTGGGCATCGTTTCTGAATCGGCTGGTGGGTGCACGCGAAACGTAAACAATGTTTCAAAAGCCGCTAGGAAATCTATGGTGCTGGCCTATGGAGGCCCTCTTAGGGGGTCCTCTTGAGGCTCTCTTGGGCCGTCTTGGAGGCCCCTTTGGTCCGTTTGTAGAAGCCTCCTAGATGGTGTCCGAATAGATGGGGTCGGAGGATCGCGCCGCATCACCGATGCATCGGCGACACATCGGCGATGCATCAGCGGCGATGCCTCGGCGCCGTCAGCGTGGAGAAAGTCGGGCTCAACATCGAGCCACGTCGCCGATGCATCGGCGATGCGGCGCGATCCTCCACCCGCGTCTGCTCGGATCTCATGTGGGAGGCCTAGAATATAAGGCCATCTTCGGCTGCCTCCCGGCCATCTTGGGCCATCTTGAAGGCATCTGAGACCGCCTAGCGGTCACCTTGGCCCATCTTATGGCCCTCTGCGGCACTTTCTCTGCACGCCCGGAGACGTTCCTGGGCATGTCCTCCCACAAGCGGATTTTGGCAGAAAAACAAATAAATACTCCAACGGATGGACCCCACATGAAAACCTAATCTTGTATGGAAGATGTACACTATCAGAATGATGCTGCTCCTCCCCACTCGTCCTGCTCCTCCTGCCCCCCTCCTCCCCCTCCGCCTCCTCCTCCTCTTCCTCCCACTCCTCCCCCATCCACCTCCTCCTCCCTCTCCTCCTCCTCCTCCTCCTCCTCCTCCTCCTCCTCCTCCTCCTCCTCCTCCTCATCCTCCTTCTCCCCCTCCTCCTCCTCCCACCTCTGTTCCCCCTGTTCCTCCGGCGCCTCTTCCGTCTCCTCCTCGTCCTCCTCCACGTCCTCCTCGACAAACGTCCATTTCAACCATCTCCTCCTGAAGGCACCGCGGTTGAAATCCCCCTCTCCCCTCCTTCCTCCTCCTCTCTCCCCTTCCTCCTCCTCCTCCTCTCCTCCTCCTCCTCCTCCTCCTCCTCTCCTCCCCCCCTCCTTCTCCTCCCCCCCCTCCTCCTCCTCCTCCTCCTCCTCCTCCTCCTCCTCTCCTCGCGCGAGCGGGCTCGCATGGAATGCCTCTGAGGGTCAGTCCGTTCGAGCGGGCTCGCTGATTCCGATAGCCGTTGAAATTCCAACCTTTAGGTGGGACCCCTTAGGGGCCACAGGGGAGGTCCCTTCCGCGCGAGCGGGCTCGCATGGAATGCCCCTGAGGGTCATTCCGTTCGAGCGGGCTCGCTGATTCCGATAGCCGTTGAAATTCCAACCTTTAGGTGGGACCCCCTAGGGGCCACAGGGGAGGTCCCTTCCGCGCGAGCGGGCTCGCATGGAATGCCCCTGAGGGTCATTCCGTTCGAGCGGGCTCGCTGATTCCGATAGCCGTTGGAATTCCAACTTTTAGGTGGGACCCCTTTGGGGCCACAAGGGAGGTCCCTTCCGCGCGAGCGGGCTCGCATGGAATGCCCCTGAGGGTCATTCCGTTCGAGCGGGCTCGCTGATTCCGATAGCCGCTGAAATTCCAACTTTTGCATGGGACTCCCCAGGGGAGGTCCCTTCCGCGCGAGCGGGGTCGCATGGAATGCCCCTGAGGGTCATTCCGTTCGAGCGGGCTCGCTGATTCCGATAGCCGTTGGAATTCCAACTTTTAGGTGGGACCCCCTAGGGGCCACAGGGGAGGTCCCTTCCGCGCGAGCGGGCTCGCATGGAATGCCCCTGAGGGTCGTTCCGTTCGAGCGTCCGCGCGAGCGGGCTCGCATGGAATGCCCCTGAGGGTCATTCCGTTCGATTCCGCGGGCTCGCTGATTCCGATAGCCGCTGTTTTTCCGGTTGGGGTGGGACCCCTTAGGGGCCACAGGGGAGGTCCCTTCCGCGCGAGCGGGCTCGCATGGAATGCCCCTGAGGGTCATTCCGTTCGAGCGGGCTTCGCTGATTCCGATAGCCGTTGAATTCCAACTTTTAGGTGGGACCCCCTAGGGGCCACAGGGGAGGTCCCTTCCGCGCGAGCGGGCTCGCATGGAATGCCCCTGAGGGTCATTCCGTTCGAGCGGGCTCGCTGATTCCGATAGCCGTTGGAATTCCAACTTTTAGGTGGGACCCCTTATGGGCCACAAGGGAGGTCCCTTCCGCGCGAGCGGGCTCGCATGGAATGCCCCTGAGGGTCAGTCCGTTCGAGCGGGCTCGCTGATTCCGATAGCCGTTGAAATTCCAACCTTTAGGTGGGACCCCCTAGGGGCCACAAGGGAGGTCCCTTCCGCGCGAATGGGCTCGCATGGAATGCCCCTGAGGGTCATTCCGTTCGAGCGGGCTCGCTGATTCCGATAACCGTTGGAATTCCAGCTCTTAGGTGGGACCCCCTAGGGGCCACAGGGGAGGTCCCTTCCGCGCGAGCGGGCTCGCATGGAATGCCCCTGAGGGTCAGTCCGTTCGAGCGGGCTCGCTGACTCCGATAGCCGTTGGGATTCCCTTCCGCGCGAGCGGTCTCGCATGGAATGCCCGAGGATGATGATCATGATGTGTGTGTGTGTGTGTGTGAGTGGGTGTGGGTGTGTGTGGGTGTGTGGCCCGCGGCCGTCCAGAGAAAACAAGAACCCCACTTAGGATGTGGGGAATGAAACATCATCGAAAATAGCCAAAAGAGCACGACGAATCATCACCAGGCACGTTTTGAGATAATTCTTGAACCCTCCTCCTGTACCAGGACACGCCCGACTTAAGCCTTGCGGTCCCCTCGGCTCCTCTTGCCCTCTGGGGGCACTTTTCTTTGCGCGCCTGGAGGACGTTCCTGGGCGAGACGCCCGCTGGCACCGGCGGTCCGACCCTCCCCCCTCTCCTCCACACTGGGCTCTCCGGGGGAGGGTCGGAGAGGCCTCTTTCTCGCACGCTGAGGACACCCACGGGGTCGGTGAATGGAAGGCATAGGCCCCGTAGATACGGAGCCAGACTCTATACACCGACGCTTTTTGTCCAGCGCCGCACTGAAACTCGCACAGGAAAGCGGGTCCTCTTCCCCGGAAAAACAAGACGAACAGTATACACCACACCACCCCGACGTCGTCTCCGACTCGCAAGAACTCTTGGGATTGAAAGACAGCCCGCCACTGGTAATGTGTATGCTCCAGTTTCCGATTAGAAGCCCTCCTGGTTTCGAAGAAGCCTCATGAGAGGCCTCTGGGTCCCTCTGGGAGGGCCCCCGCGTTCTGAGAGGCTCTCGGGGCAGCAACTGAGCCCGGCCAGGAAAAGCCCGGCAAGGCGGAACTCGGCCCGCGCCGTGCCCAGCTTGGCGGAGCTCAGCTGACCGAGTTCCGCCTGGCAGAGTTTGTTCGCCTGGCCGAATCTTTCCCTCGTCCTTGCCGGGCCGACCCCCTCGCGCCACCCACTTGCGCCTGCCGCCCCTCCTCCGTGAGCGGCTTGCCGGGGGTGCTGCGCTTCGCCTCCACCTTCTCGCCGTTGGGGCCGGCCCGGAAGCAGGCGAGCTCGGTTCCCATCAGCGCGGGTCCGCAGGAGAGGAACTGGTTCGCCGAACGCGTGCAGAGGGTGACGCCGGCGGAAGACTCGCTCATGCCGAAGCCCATGTAGATGTTCATCCCCAGCTGGCCGAAGTACTCGAAGGTATCCAGGGACATCGGCGCCGCCCCAGTCATGAACAGGTTGCACTTGTGCAGGCCCAGGGCCTGGCGCGCCTTTGAAAGTATCAGCTTGTCCGCCAGCCAGTGGAGGAACGGCTTGGCCCCCGATCCGCCTGGTTGCATGTTCCTGCAGTACTCCAAGCCCTTGGCCTTAGCCCACGTGGCAAGGCTCTTCTTCACGCCTGTGATGGACGCCCCTACCGCCATCATTCTTTCCTGCATCTTCTCGAACACTCGAGGAACTGCGAAGAAGAGCGTGGGCTCGACAAATGCGATGCGCTGTGCTAGGGTCATTTCTTTTAAGTCATAGGGTCTGGCGAAATAGACTGTCCACGTCGAATTATAGGTGGCCATGAGTGTGAGCGGCATAAGGATATCAAACACGGTACCTGCCACGTGCGACAGGGGCAGGAAGCTGATTGAACGATTGTGTGTCGGGTGCATGTCCTGGAAAAGGTGCGGGAGGAGACAGCGCGCCTGCAAAAGGACGCCTTCGTGGCTGCACATCACGGCCTTCGGGAACCCAGTCGTCCCAGATGCTGGAAGAAGCAAAACTGCGTGACCATAATTTCTGGGAGCGCCGCGTGGATTTCTTGAATGTGCGCGGAATCCCCCTCCCTGGCGCGCAAGGCGCACCAGGGAAGGGCGCCCGAGGCGCCGCCAGGGGTAACCCCGCGCAGATGAAAGACATCCGCGCGGAACACCGACAGATTATGCTTACAGTCGAAACGCTGTCATACTTACGCAGGACGAAAGATTTTCCTCTTGAGGTGGAAATGGCGATGATGAGTTCGCGAGATAACATCATCTGCCGCCAAAAGGACGGCGTCTGGACGAGCGGCGTGCAGCAACCGGGAGGAGAGAGATGTACAGTATTCATGTTGCGTGGGGCCCGCGCGTGGGGAAAGTTGATGGGAGTGCGCAAGACAGCGCACGAACCATCCTGGGAAATTGATGACCGAACCAATCTCCCTCGTAGAATGTTAACATGGGCGGGTTCTGGGGTCCGCGGATCCGATTTCTTCGGTTTCCCCGCTTTAACTTAAAACATACATTCAGAAACAACAGATATAAAAGTCGGATCCGCCGCAAAAAAGGACGGACGCGGATTCATACAATCCGAAATCGGATCCGCATGGACGGACATTTGATCCACCGAGATAGAAACCAAAGCCACAACTGGATCCGCGCGAACTTCATTGGATCCGACGGCGGTTATCCCATACGCGTCTGTTCAACACGTACAGCCGTCGAACCCTAAATAGGGAACGAGGCCTCTGGAGATGTAAGGAACCCTAAGATAAGGAACGAGGCCTGTGTTTCCAGAACTTAACTCCGATCTCCCATAGAGAACCTAAGGAACAACGGAAACAAACTGCAGGACAACTGAGGAACACGGAGCCCCTCCCCAACGAAACGGGTTCCCCCTTCAGCGGCCCGACTGTGCACAGTTTCTGCCCTCTTCGCGATGTGTAGATCAAGCAAGCGCAGTGCCCACGGCGCTGACCACCGATGCGCACCTGGAGATCGGTGTCCGAGCCCTGCGCCTCGCCCAGTGCCAGCAGGTCGTCCCAGTGCATGACCCTGCAGACGCTCCCGTCCGCCCTCTTGAGGTCGGCCGGCGCCCGCATGCCCCAGACAGCAATGGCGGCGACGCCGGGAAGCTCGTCTATCTTCGAGGCAACCTTGTCGAATTCCACATCCGAGTCCAGGACCACGACGGTCGACCCGGAATGGGAGATCTTGTACTGGATCTGCTCGGGCGTGTCCGTCAGGTAGATTCCCGCGTACTTGGCGCCGCACAAGATCGACCCCATGGCAGAGATCGACCACTCGGGGGCGTTGAACCCAAACACGGCCACGGTGCCAAACCTCTCCACGCCCAAGACCTCAGATGATCTCAAGAACGCTCGGAGCGTTTCCCCTCGTTTTCAACATCTGCGTTTTCTTTCCGTTTGGGGCGCCGTTTCTGTCACGTCTTCGAGTCCCGTACCAGCCCATGGCCCCCCTGCTCGTGTTCCCTCCGTGCTCAACACCTTTCAAACACGTTCCCAGGTATCGCAGTGCCGCCTGCCTGACGTCGATATTCCAGGGTGTAGTTTCTAGAGCGCTCTGGTCGAGCCGGCGGCGAGCATCGGACAGCGGAGACAAAAACGCCCCCAGCGCTTGTAAGAAGCAGCTATGCCCAAGACCATGTAGGCCTTTGCTGCGCTGCAGGCGTCCTTGTAGTACTGCGCGGCCGTCCACTTCCTCCGGCTACAAGCAAGAGTGACCCAGGGTAAACGTGACCATCGGTGCGCGGCTTTTTGCGGGCCGCGGGGGGGCCAAACACAAGCGCGCAAGACGCTACTATCGCATCGCGCTCGGCGATCGGGGGGCCCCCGTGGGCCCGCACCGAAGGTCACCCTGGCGAAGGCCCACTCTTGCGTGCAATCGACTCCTCCAGTCCCCCCAGGGCAGCGGCGGAGCGACGCCGGGCGCCTCCAAACTCGGGAGGGGGCGCTCCACCGCGAGCAGCACCTCGTTCGGAACCTTTTCCGCGACAGCCTGGAACACGACGCTGAAATTCTCGTGCCCCTTCTCTGCCTCGGACATCCCCATCCGCCGCCCTCCCAGCTCACCATCGCACTCCTATCCTCCCCCTCCTCCTCCTCCTCCTCCTCCTCCTCCTCCTCCTCCTCCCCCTCCTCCTCCCCCTTCTCCTCCTCTTCCTCCTCCGCCCTCTCTTCCCCTCCGCCTCTTCTTCTTCCTCCGCCGCACCTCCTCCTCCTCCATCATCCTCCTGCCTTCTACTTCTCCCTCTCCTCCTCCTCATCCTCCTCCTCCTCCACCTCCTCCTCCGCCTCCTCCTCATCCTCCTCCTCCCCGCCCCCCCCTCCTCCTCCTCCTCCTCCTCCCCTCCCCTCCTCCTCCGCCTCCTCCTCCTTCCTCCTCCCTCCTCCCTCCCTCCCTCCTCCCTCCCTCCCTCCCTCCCTCCTCCTCCTCCCTCCTCCCTCCTCCTCCTCCCTCCTCCCTCCTCCCTCCTCCCATCCTCCCCTCCTCCCTTACCCTCCTCCTCCCCCTCCTCCCCTCCTCTTCCTCCTCCTCCTCCTCTCCTCATCATCATCCTCCTCCTCCCCGCTCCTCCCCATCCTCCCCCTCCTCCTCCTCCTCCTCCTCCTTCTCCACATCCCCTCCCCCTCCTCCTCCTCCTCGTCATCCTCCTCCTCCTTACTCCTCCTCCTCCTTCCCTCCCTCCTCCTCCTCCTCCTCCTCCTCCTCCTCCTCCTCCCCTCCTGCCGTCTCCTTCCTCCGTCTCCTCCTCCTCCTCCTACTCTCTCCTCCTGCTCCTCCTCCTCCTCCTCCTACACCTCCTCCCCCTCCTCCTTCCCGGATCTTCGACCTCACAGCTTGCTCGTGACGGCGGGACCCGCGAGGCTTCGACCCCATCCCCAGGGGGGCTGGTTCGTCGTCTCGTGCCGTTTTTTGATGTCCACGAGTCATCGTTCCATCGGGGGAGGCAGGAGAAGGAGGAGGAGGAGGAGGAGGAGGTGAGGAGGAGGGGAGGAGGAGTGAGAGAGGAGGAAGAGGAGAGAGGAAGGAGGAGGAGGAGAGGAGGGGGAGAGGAGGAGGGATGAGGAGGAGGTGAGAGGAGAGGAGGAGGAGCTGAGGAGCAAGGAGCAGGTAGGAGGAGAGGAGGAGGAATCCGGAACAGGAGCAGGAGAGGAGGATGGAGGATGAGGAAGGAGGAGGAGGAGGAGGGGCGGGAGGAAGAGGAGGAGGAGGAGGAGGAGGAGGAGGAGTAAGAGAGTAGGAGGAAGAGAAGGAGAAGGAGGAGGAGGAGAGGAGTGCAGGAGGAGGAATAAGAGGAGGGGGAAGAGGAGGAGAGGAGGAAGAGGAGGAGAGGGGGAGGAGGGGGGTCGAGGAGGAGGAGAAGGAGGAGAGGAGGAGGAGGAGGGGGAGGGGGAAGATGATGAGGGAGGAGAAAGGGAGGAGAGGAGGAGGAGTAGGAGGAGGAGGAGAAGGAGAGGGGAGGAGGAGGAGGAGGAGGTGCAGAGGAGAAGAAGAGGAGGAGGGGGAAGAGGAGGAGGAGGAGGAAGAGGAGGAGGAGGGGGAGGAAGGAGGGGGAGGAGGAGGAGAGGAGAGGAGGAGGAGGAGGAAGGAGGGGGAGGGGGAAGATGAGGAGCATGAGGAGGAAGCAGGAGGAGATGAGGAGGGAGAGGAGGAGAGGAGGAGGCAGAAGGAGGAGGAGGACGAGGAGGAAAACGCTGTGTAATAAGGAACGCGGGGCCTTCTGCCTGCCACGGTTGGGCCTCAGCTACCATGGGCCCCCGACCCAACCTTGAGGCCCTAAATAGAGGACGAGGCCCCTTTCCTTCCACAGTTAAGCGTCGGTTCCCAATCGAAACATAGGAAAACCTGAGGCAAGCTGTAGCAGCTAAGAACACGGAAGCCCCGCCCCAACGAAAAGGGTTCCTTCTTCAGGGCTCCGACTGTAAACATAAACATAGCATGCAGAAACACACAAACAGAAATATAACATAAACACATAACGTAACAGGCAGAAACGCATAAACATAAACTTTCGGCGCTCCGCGCGGACTCGTGGATTTGCGCTGTGCCCCCTTGCCTGTCGCGCGGAGCGCGACAGGGACGGCGCCGGAGGCGCCGCCGGGATCCAAGCGCGGATCCAGGTCCGCGCGGAGCGCCAAATGTTTATGTTTATGCCGTTTGTTTTTCTTCGGAAGAGATCCTTACTTGAAAGTCTTGCCTGCATGCCGATATGGCGTAGACCAAAAAGCGACCGTCTCGATCTTGGCCGCGGCGAGGCATAGTTGCCTGGGCCCTCCTTTCAAAACCCCTCCAAAGACGAAACCAGGACTGGGACAACATCGCAGCGGGACGAATCGGGTACGTATCTCTAAAATCCGGCGGTTCTGGAGGATGTTATCGGGCGCCGCGGCTGTTCTAGAGCGCTGCGGGACGCTCTGAGAGCGTTCTGGAACGCTCTGGAACGATTTACCCTGGTCCTGGCCCTGCCCCATACCGGCCCCATCTAATCATCTTGGGGCGCGAACGAGCGAGGGTTTCGGAGCGGATCTGTCCCAGGATGACTCGGGGGAAAAATCAGGAAAGTAGCAAGCCGTGATCCTCGTGCTGAGCCTTGGCTAGAATAACGTCAAGTTCGGGGGCGTCCAACAAGGGGGCGTGCAAGCTGTGGGTTCGCAAATCACAGCGCGAGGCCTGTGCGCGGTACCAAGGAAGGCCAAGGGATGCATTGAAAAAACGAGAATGGGCGAAAGATACCATGGCCCCGCCCATGGTAATGATCCACCCCCCCGGTCATCAACCGTCTCTTGGCCGCCCCCGAAAACTGCACAATCCAAACCTTCCCGAGGTCCGCGCGGATTCCTCGGGTCGGCGCTGGAGGAGGGGGAGGGGGAGGAG